CCCAAAATGGGCAAGGGTTCTGCTAACTGATATAGGGGACCTATTTAAGAGATACTTCAAAGTTAGTCCAGGGCTCACATAGAATACCACATGGACTATGCCCTGCAATAATCCGCCGTGCCAGACTTGCTTCATCAAACGGGGACGTACTGTCATCTTTTGACACTTACCCTGCTTCCCGCCTCCTGCCAACAATCCCTACACGAATGTTCGAGGCCTTCTAGCGAAGAATTGGCTTTGGGGACATGGGGTAGTTGCGTCATTGCACTGTACCAAGCTATGATTTCGAGTAAGTAGCCATCATTTTCTCAAGCCCGGAACCCCCAAATCCTGAATGCAAAGCTCAAAACCAAACAACCCTCAGCCCAAGTGAATGCAGGTGCCCAGCCACCGAAGCAGGCAGCAGAGGGAAGGCAGGAAGTGACCGAGGATAATGTAGATAAATAGTCAAATAGATGCATGGCCGGCTTTCTATACATTTGTGCATGGTATGATATCGGCTTGAGCATGTGTAAGTAACACTTTCTTCTCTACGCTGGGCAGAATTCTTTCTCAGTTCCACGATATGGTGGAGAAGTTTCCTGGCCTCTAGTATATGCTGGTCAGCACAATTAGGGGTCACTGGTTTGGGGTGTGCATAAAAAAGGATTCGCTACATGTGGGTTGTACTGAGGAGCCCCGGCAATTTTTCGAAGGCAGTGTTCCAGGGTGCGGATGTAGGACTCTACAGGCTGTTAGATGTACATCTCATGTGGGCTTCCGCCACAGGTTTCCAGCCAAATTAATGTGTTGTGGTGTTTCTTGGTTGTTTGTAATCCATTTAGAACATTATCTCATCCCTATACAGACATGCGTAGCCTCAAGAACGCGAGGGCCTCCGGGGATATCTTCACCGCGCCGCTGGTGAGCGAGCTGCAGGAAGTTCCAGACCCCGCTGAGGCCGGTGGCTACAGGTATCAGGTATCAGTTATGGCTTTGAGGGGTTTGAAGGTTTTGGATTTTGGGTTCCTTACCATCCTCCCGCTAACAATCATGAAGAGTACTCTCAGCTCCTGCAGCCGCACGGCGTCTGCAGGCTCCTCAGCCTGGGGAGTGCAAAGAGAGTCAGCGGGAAGCTAGCCTTGTGCGTTTTCGATCACGTCGCAATTCGCCGGCGCATGAGTATCCCATCGGAAACGTCATCTTGCAGGAGGGAGCAGCGCGAGACCTCCATGCAAAGCCGCATGGCGCAAGTGGCACAGGGCCAGAGATTTCAAGTTTGCTAGATCTGTCATGTTCTCAACATATTTTTGTTAAAGCAGTCGTTTCACGGTTGGACATTGATTTTCAGATTTTCTTGGTCGTGCAAAAGAGGGAGACCACAGATTGTTCTGCTCAGATATGCCGGGTAAGGCTTTCCAATGCGCGAAAGACAAGAGAGCGCGGACCGTTGAATGGAATGCTGAGTGGCAAGACATATCCGGTGAGGACATGCCAATGAAAGTGTCGAAGCACTCTCGGCGAGTATTGTATCAACTGTCGCGGGCTGCATGTATCGCCTGAGCAATGGTTGTCCAAGCTCTTCAACCAGCTCACCTAGTGTTCGGCGCAGCATAACGCTGAGAGGTGGACGCCAATCTTGCGCATGTTTGGCCGTCCCTGTCGGGACAAACAGGCTTTCCATGAAGCATAAAAGCACGGGCAGAAATTATCAGGAAGAACAGACAGCTCATTATTCAGAGGTCTACGAAAGCCGAGCTCCCCCATATTTGGATTTATGTGTAAGCCGCCTGTTACAAAACTTGCGGGGGAAGGATGGACCTGTGAACCTATGTTGTATCGCGCTGTAAAACACTGTTGGGAGCAAGGATGGCTGGAGAGCACCCAACGTAATATTATTATTAATATTAATATTAGTAATATAGTATATTGGGGTTATATTGGAATAATGGAAAATAAAATGGAAACTACTATAGTAGGGTTATATAGGGATTATTATATTAAGCTGTTTGTTTCTTCTAAAGCTGGTAGAGTCCTGTCGACGCACTCCTAAATTCGGCATGCAGAAGTTTGCAAATGGCGTGAAGGGGTGGCAGTATGCACTGAAGCACTCATGACCTGGAGCAGTAATCTGCCATGCTGCACTCCCCACACCTAAACAAACGAGGCAAGCCCACTCAAGCTGTTACCAGTCCCGGGCAAGAACCTATATCAAAGCCCTGAAGTAGTCCAGCTTCAGGGCAAAAAATCCCCCGTGAACTACCACAAAGGGACCAAAGCATGGCAATGAAGACAAAGCGAAGGGGATTGAACCGGCAAGATCATTGATCAAGGAAAAGCCGTCCCCTTAGCCCACCCCGAGCCCTCAACAAACAAATGCAAAGATTGAACCCGCAAAGTTCCATGAGCGACCATGCGAACTCGCAAAGCTCACATGGTGGAGGAGTTCGCCGTTTGCGGCCCGAAGCCATCCACTGTGATCCACTGTGTCAACTGTACCACGAGCAGCCACCATCGCGTCACGAGAGGTAGTGCGGGGCTTGAAACCCACAATGCGGCCAAAGGATGCGCCGCTGATCACATCTAAAATGCCGATCTTGTCAGCGTGGGCCTTCCTAAAGACTTGCACGCCATCCCATAAGCGTACAGTAGCAACGAGTGAATCACATCTGTCGAAGCGTGGTATCCCTGCACGGTGCAAGCATCCTGCAGCTGCTTGCCTGCCAAACTCTCTGCGCGCTGGATCTTAGCCTGGGCGTTATTGTGGGTATCGAAAGCTGACGCATCCAGGTTGATAGAGTTTTCACCATCAAGAGCGGCGGCTTGGCCAATTTGCGCATCAGCATGGAACCTCAGAAATGTATTGGATGCAAGCACCCCGCCTGGATCGAACAAGAATGAGCAGTCTGATGGCCAACCGCCATCCACCACGAGAATAGCATCCACATTGCAGATTGCCGACAGGACGTTGGGCTGTGAATTTTCCCGTTTGTTATTGTCGTGCTGCTGCACTATGTAGGCCGCAATGTCTGTCGTGACAGTCTGATCTGCCATGTTGCTGACAAAGGTCTGTATGAATTCAGGCATGCTCTCCTGGTGTCTGTTGTGACCCAACAATACATTGGCGACAACATGCGACCTCACCTGAACAAGTGGCTCCCACAGTCCCTGCCACTGCCTATCATGCAAGTCTGTGAACAGCTGTCTGCCACAATCTTTCTCTGTCTGTGCCGATCGGATGAGAACTGCAGCATGTGCATCCACAGCCTCTTGCGCCGTCTGCTTGATGAAAGCCCTCCGAGGCCTTAAGTCTACATCCAGCCGCACCTGCAAGACCTCACGGAGAGTGCGGAGAGAGATTGGTCCCTGCAGGGCCAACTGAAAAACAGCTTCACAAACCGCAGCACGCAAAACAGTGTCAGTCAACATGTTGTCCTTGTCGCGGATCTTGGCCTTCTTGTTGTCGACGGCTTCTGCAAAGACGAACCCTTTTCCCGACAGGGCCATGGCATAGGGTTCTGGGGCACAACGATTTTCCCCGCTGCTAGGGCGATTCGGGCCCTAAAAAAAGCTGAGTGTTTAGGGTTTAGGGTATTCTTAAATGCATCCCAGATCCAATCCCTGCCTGGGCCCAACGACATTTGAAATGGCAGTTGATCCAACCCTCGGTCCGGCCCCGAGGCTCTCGGGCCAAGACCCTGACTTTCCAACCCAGACCAAACTTTCAGCTTGAAGAAATCTTACATGGTAAAGCGTTAAATCCGAAATCCAATGAATCCAACAGAAGGCTCGAATCCAATGTCTTGAGTCTTGAGCGAAACCTAAGCTTTAGATGCCTTACTCTAAAGTCGCCCAGGGCAGCAGGCCCAAGAAGCGGGCTGGGCACCTGGCCTTCCTTGTGGGTCCAGATTTCTTTGAAGAACTCAGGGTTTAGAGTCTTGGGCTCTTGGCTTTAGAGTCTGGAGTTTGGTCTCTTCAAAGAGGTGTTTGTTTTGGGGTTGGAGTTTGAGTGTTCAGAGTTGCTGAATTGCAGATGCAGGGGAGGTAAAACAGGTGAGAATCGGTGAGCAGTCACTTCCAGCAGTGGTTGTATCTGACAGGTGGTAATCTACCGCAGAATTCGTGCAGGAGCTTCCCAATGGCTTACTGGTTCTTCGTAGGGAATAAGGAAAAATCCCTGCATGATTAAAAAAGAAAATATATATGTATATATATATATATATTAGATTCCCTTGTTCCCTACTAACCCTCAACCATAAACCCTATGTAGGATATTCCCCTTTTTCCGTACTAGGAACCAGCAAGCAGTGGTGAATTCCTGCAATTCGGTGGATTGCTTGTAATAAAAGTATGAATAATAGTAGCAGAAAATCGTAGCAGTAACAATAGCAGTAATAATAGTAGGAATAATAGTAGTAATGACAGTAGTAATAATATTTGTAATAATATGAGTAATAATAGAAGTAGTAGTAATACAATTCGTAATAAAATAGTCTTGATGGGGTTGTTCGGTGAAGCATGAGTCTTGAATCAAAATTCCGAGGGAAGACGCATAGCCTTCGCAGGGTCGCTGATAGGGATTACACCATGGTTTTTGCTCGTGTGTTTACATGTGTGTCCGGAATACCTTAGGAGGACCCCCCACCCTGTAGTAGTAGTATAGTAGGATTATAATAGGACCCTAATATAGTCCTTATTATCCCTTAGAGTCACTATTACAGGGATGGGGGTCCTCCTAAGGAATGCCTACAACCCCTTGAAGTCTCAAACCTGTACCATTGAACAAACGAGGCTTCTCAAAATTGCGCTCTACAGGTGCAAGCTGACAAAAGAAGATCCGTGAATTCTACTTCCATTTGCCAATGACTTTGCAGATCAAAGGAGTCTTGCCTGGTCTTTGAGAAGATGTGTTGCTAAATCCCAAGCCCAGATGCATAAACCCTAAGTCTGCTTGGGTGCTAAACAGGTCGCCCTTCGGAGCATCTTTGCATGAACAAGATTTCCTGATTTGAAGAGATCCTCAGAATCACCTCCCAGATCCGGTCTGTGGCTCCTGCAGTGGAGGGGGACTCCTTCGTGGCGCGAGGTCGGCCTTTGGCGGGCAGGGCTGGATTTTGAGGGTTTAGGGTTTAGTGTTTAGGGTTGGGACAGGTAATTAATTCTGCATGGTCTTGTTGAGAAAGTGCCCGCTGCAAATGTTGCCCCTCCTCGGTTGCCCCCAATACACTGGCTGTTCCTTCTCGGGGTCCAAAAGCTCGAATCTCCAATATTCAATGCCAGAATTGCGGTCGTAGATTACATGAGGGACAAGGGATCCCACGGGGGGAGGTGGACTTTGAACCCTAAATCATCCTAAACACGCATGGTAGTTTCTCCACACAAGGGCACCCTTGTATAGACCCCCAAATACAGTAGTCAGGATCCTCAAGAAGGCATCCCTAATTTTGTGGATTCACCTTGGGCAGTTTTGTGCAAAACTGGAGCCCAACCTGGGGAGGCCAGGCTCCAAAAGCCAGGAAGGAGTACAGCGCATGGACCGAGGGCGAAGAGCCGTCGTCTCAGTTTCCCCTGTGTAAGATTGCACAGTATGATTTGGATCATGGGTCCCTTAAAGGGTTATAGAATTATGGAGGTTGTTTAGGGATAATGGAGAAGAACATGGCAAGTACTACAGCAAATTAGGGTGTGTATTGACATGAGGATAACACAGTGGTGTGTATGTGTGTTTGCAGCTAATGTTGCCTTTGAGGGCCTGGAGATGAAAATTGTGCGGCCTTCCAAAAGCTTGCTTCATCAGTGTTGGCAGCTGTTCAGGCGAGTGGTTCTAGGAGAAGGGCCCTATTTGTGCAATTGGGAGGCGGGGGTTGATCCTTAGATAGCATGTTTTCACGCCTGAATCTGCTTGCAAGATGGACTGCAGGACAGTTCGAATAGGGACTGCCCCGATAGAGAAACATCAGCTTTCGGCTCAAGCTTGGGGTGCGGCTGCACCCATTTTAGGATTCAGGGCTTAGGGTTACATTACCTCAATAATGGAGAATCAAAGGAAAAAAGAACATGGAAAATGAAATGGAAATTCCTATTTAGGGCTATGTAGGCATTCATTCGTCGCGTGCACACAATTTTTCTCACACACAAGCTCAGATTCCCGAAGAGAACTCGGTGCCTAACGCAGTGCCTATCCCAGTATGTCAGACGTATAATAAGACTATCAGCAATAATAGTAGTAACAATAAATAGTAATAACAGTATCAATAGTACTAATAGTAGCAATAATATTGGTAAAAGTAATTACAGGACACCCCCAGGTTGGGACCTAGCCTGATGAGAGCGCTGCTACTGTTTGCCTTTGCCTTTGCACCTGGTGAGGCTGTAGACAGCCACTTGGCGCGTTTTACACCTTAGGGTTTACCTGCACTTGGGTTCTTACGCACTCCACATTCAGGTTCCTGACCCAGAAAAGCACAGCGGATTTACAGTTGTATGGCTGAAGAGAAAATGAGTCAGGCTCCCGTAATGTCCGGTCAGCCTCAGGCTTTGCGCGAGTAAAACTTTGGGATCAGCACCTGTGAAATTGGGAGCTAAAGGGGATTTCAGTGGGTAAGGGTGGGTTTGGCAGCCCCCGGGACTAGAAATGCAGTGCAACTCAAAAGCTTTTCGCCGGGAAAGCTTTGGGATCAGCACCTCTGAAAGCAGGAGCTAGAAGGGATTTCAACGGGTAAGGGGTCGGTTTGGGAGCCCCTTTGGGAGTAGA